GAAGATAGACCGAAACGCATAGAATTTTCGCCTAATAAGTAAAATATTGTGCTTAAGAAGAAACAGTTTTTGTCATTTGTTCAAAACTGATGCTACGTTGTATTTTGCCATGGCCATGAGCGCCAACGCGCAAAATGCTTCTGTCGATTACTAAAAAAATGAAGAAATGGTTATTTCATATAGAAATAAGACACCGGCATTCGCAGTTTGCCAGCAGGCTGTCAGTTAAATGCAGCCTGCAAGAAACTCCTGTCAATCCTCTCAGTAGTCATGAAATTTCACTACGGTGTGGGACCGGGGTGAAAACCATTATGCCGCTCCGTTGGTTTAGTCAAAGTCGGGACACGCTTAGACACTGCAGACTGAACGTATGTAACACAGTGACTGTTCGTGCGAAAAGTGGATGTTTCACATTATTAGCAACTGGTAAAAAATTGTTGGCTCAGGCTTCGAAGGTTCTGAATCTGTACTTTAAAAATACTCTCAACTCGCTCAATTGTCCATACATTCGCTCAAATATATGAATTTATCAAAATTTTGTTCGGATGACACCTGAATTTCAAACGGTCAAAAATTTAGCGTTAAGGTCATGCAAATGTCCACTTGCTAAATATCTTTGCAAATTGATGGACACAGGAAAAAATAGTAGACTGATGGATATCTAATCAACTTATGGCGTAAAGAGTATTTTTCTTCAGAAATCGATCTTGCAGTTTGGGTTAATTTCCGATGAATGCCATGGTTAATATCGTATGCGTTGAATTACTTACTTTTTGGATGGCAACTCTAGGAATGGTGATGTGGATAGGCAGGCAGAGCTCAATTGCGTGTGCCAATGGGAAGAAACAGCATATCGCACCTATGTCCTTTGTTTGGTTAATACATAAACATTTAGTATGAACGATATGCTGAAACAAGTATACTCATGCGTTGATAGCTCTAAAGATAGAAGAACATTCGTAGTTTAATTTCGGATGTTATTGAGTAATGGTTAACCGTTAACAGGCATATGCGTCTCGATCGTAGATTCATTTTGAAATTTTCAGCAACATACGCAGTGGAAAGAGTCTTTCAGAAAAGTTTGAAGGGGAATAAAGCATTCATTTGAAATTATATTTCCAGAATAATTCAATGGGAGAATTGATGCGTTACAAGCAATATGTAAATAATTTCGGACAGGTTGGACGCTCTCTCTGACGTGTCCGCCTCCGCGACCCGAAAGGAGAAGCGGCGATGGAAGATGAGATGGGACAGGTTGACCATCTGATGACAATCGTTCAATTCAGCGCAAGATATGCATCACGTATTAATTCCGGCAAACTATCCTAGCAAGGTCAAACATGGAGTCCTGTGATTCAAGGGCAATCTTCATTTGTACCAGGCTCATGGCATGGTGTCAGAAGGCGATGGATGAGGTGGCAGCTAGCCATGCGCAAATGGACTCACTTTTAATTAAGGAATAGGGAGTTGAGTGACCAACAAATCAGAGTTAATTCCAGGCATGTGACGACAATAAGTTAATGCTATGTTGATATCTTTCACCATTTCATCTCGCCGTGCGTTCGTTAGACGACATTGGCTTCTGTTATACTGTTTTTTTCTTCGAACGCCTAACGTAATGACGCTGGATAATGCTGATCACCTAAAATTTGTTAGCCAGTGTAGCTGACTGCTATCCCTCATTATTCCTTGAATACCATCTTTTTCCGTACCTTAGCTTCCGTCAGGTTTTTGCAATACGAGTGCTTAAAAAACAACTGATACAGTGCGCTCCCGCCCAACTTTTACTCTTTATGATGTATTCATTTTTTAATATGGAAACCTCTCGCCGCGTGTTAGAACACATTCTTAACGCTACATTTTTTCTTGAATCTCTGCATCCTTTCAGTTAGATTTAACACCGTCCTTTTTTCCAAAGGTCCACAAATATGATTTAACAATGATCGCAGGAGTATACTGCTTTTCTTTTTCAGTTACTAGCTCGATTGTTGTACGCCCAAATCACCACTTTTGCATCTCCCGAGGAAATTCTTCTTCTTGTTCCCCTCGTTGGACAGCAGCTGTGCATTGCTGGGCTGATGACTGTTAAAATATTTCTGCAACGTTTATGGTTTTCTATCACAATCAGTTTTGTCGTCCATATGACGTTTATTTTGGTCATGTATGCTCCTCGTTTGGTTTGTCGGAATTGTTCTAGATTTACGGCAGTGGTCTAGGCAAACAGAAATGGGCAATAACTAGCAACGAAAAATTATATTGAGTAAGATAGGATGAGTTTGCATAACTCAGCGTCTACAACCGGCTAACAAACTCGCCCGCAAATATAAATCTACCGCAATTTTGAAACTACAACAAAGCATTCCAATTATATTTAATTAGTCTAAATAATGCTCATATTTCAAAAATTACTTGAAAGATCAAAACCAAAGGCTGCAAAAGTACAAGCTAATCGCATGCCTTTGCATGCAAAGTAGTGTTAATGCTGTTGTTTCTTTTGTATTTGCGTCTTTTCTCTGATTAGATTGTCAACGCTAGCATCGACAGCCAGCTGACCTATTGCAGGCTGAGCGTTGTGTACTGTAGATACTTCATTGACGAGTATAGTGTCGTATTTAAATTCTGCTCGTTTTCGGGCTCTTTTCTGTAACCGGCACATTCCATCGGCTCCGAACGGCACCTTCTGATTTCCGGTCACATTGAGTTGTTTGCTTTGCGAAGTGAATGATGTATTGTACAGATTTCGATACTTCTCTATGCGCTGGTCTGTGTCGTTGCTAAAATTGATCGAACATTGCCAGGTAATTCGTCTTTCGTCAGAGCTTCCACTTGCCTTTTAGAATGTATTTTTGCTTTTAATGGTAACTTTTGATGCACGAATATTTTTTATGTAATGAGCTCATTTGATTAGTTGGCGCTTGTCCACGGTTCACTGCAGTCAAATGCGAAAGCAAAGCGATACTTCGACCCGTCTCGTTCGACCAACACCGCTTTTGCATTTAGATACTTTACTTCATGGACAAGTATAATATAGTAACTGCGAACTCTTCACTTTAAATAAATTTAACTTTAAATAACTTTAAAATGGACAACGACTTTTAACACGACAAAATTCTGTTTCCTCTTCAACTTCAGACTGTTATATGTTTCAGTTTACACATTTCTCGTAAACAAGAATCGTCTTTGCGAACAGTCGTTCGATGCATGTCATGCATAAAGCATCACATCCCACTATTGTTAGCGAAACTTGTGATATTAATACTTGTTGGTTAGCGCAACAACAGAAAAACTATCTTCGAGCAAGCCATTTAATTTTCATTGTAGTTATACAACGCGTTTTGAAGTCGGTCGTTTGTTGACTCGTTTGCTAAATTCGATGAAGGCATGAAAGCAGCGCATGTTCAGACAGTTGCTCTACCGTCTAGAGGCCTAGGTGGGCGCTGTTACAGTAATGATGCATATGTCTTGGCAAATATGTCCTGAAAACTAAGTTAATTTTCATTTATAAATGCACTGTCTGATTGATTCGTCGTCAAATGTGAAGTAGTGTCCACAAGAGAATGCCGACATATCTGTTTGCTGTTTTGCATGATATAAGTTGCACCACCCGTTTCCCTGTTCATATGTGTGGTATATGTTTGCCTTTTTTGCTTGGTATGTGTATTTTCAGTATTCTGCGCATAAGTGTTTTAAAAATTAAGACGATCGGGCATCTAGGGTTGACCATTTCGTTTAGCTTCATATTCACCCGACAGAAAGAAACTAGGTGTAGACATTTAAGCCAGAAGAGAGGTGTTGCGACCCTCTGCAGATTTATGATAGGGCATAACTTGAGATCAGAAAGACATGACAAGAAATTCAGTGTCATTTCGATTCATCTTATAATCTCTGCGTGTACTCGTTAGTCAGTGATATTCTTTCCAATAATCCGTTTTATTATTGGTGGTTTTTTCTATTCGATCGGTAGATCAAGGTAATGGCAGGATGATGTAGAATCGTTTATTGACTGTCCTTTAGATGCCGCACACCGTCATCAGAGTAGTTATAAACAAATTTGATTATTACTATTATTACCCTGATGATTAACTGCTATTTAAACCGGCAGAGATTTGATACCTCGTTCCATACCTGCCCCTGTGCATAGTAATAGCCAGAGTGGCAAAGATGTCACATCTTTGGAGGTGAAAGCTTTGTTGTTTCGCTAAAACGTATCAAAGCGATTCATTTAAACAGCTTTTCTTTCACAAGGCAACAATACAATGCAGTTGGTCTGTCAGGTGGTTCGTGTACAGCCGCAGCGCCGTATGTTGGGTCAGAATCTGTTGCTGCAAAAAGCAATGTGTGTTGTCAGCTAACAACTACCAACCGTACTTGAAGACGGTACAGGCTAATAAAGTTATTATTCATCTGTCACCTGATAGACCGTTATGTTGTGTTGTGCAGTAATGAAGCATCTTTGTGCTGGTTTTTCAGTATGGTCACTAGTGCGTGAATATAACATTCCATCCGTAGGATGTAGTTGCTGTCACCTTAACGTGATACGCATACGGTCCCTGGTTCACTCCTAGGCAAAGGGACTTTGATCTGGCATGGCCTATCCGATGAGTTACTATGACACTCTGATGTTTCTGGTCACAGTTCGCAACTGCTTCCCGATGAGGGTTAGCTAACGGCTATGCCTAATCTCCTTCACTGGGTTTACTTCGCTTCTCCAGGAATATGAAGCCAGTACTAGTAGCAAGACCAGATTAATCATTGCAAACTATGCACTCTAAGGGCCCCTGAGAAGTGCAATCCAAACCTTCTAAACCTTCACTTTTCCGCTTCCTACTGAGTACGGTTGCATTCCGATTTATTATTTTGCCCTCAGCATGGAAGTCTTCAGCGAAGGAATTGTTGTTGTCGATGGCTCGTTCACACGGTGGTCTCACTGCGAGCGTGGAAATGCTGTTGTTGTTTATGATCACTTTAATCGTGATGATGATATTTGTTATGATGGAAAGTCACTTTTGGCATCAGCATCATGAGAAAAGTTATGTTCATGTTGGTCCTGTGGATGATGACAAGGCCATGATTCATAGCTGTCTCTAATGAGAAAGAGCCGTAAAACTTGTCATTTCGTCTGCTTTTTGGTCAAGTAATGATAGTTCCCTGCAGAAAAATGACATTCCACTGTGAGGCTTAAATTATTCTTGCTTTTCAATTATTTTGTTTTAAAAAATGTCAGTACGGTGTGCGGAAACATTGGCGGCAGATTAATAAGGGTATTTTAATAACACCTTTAATTTGCGTGACACGGAGTCAAAACGAAGTTTTGAAATGATGTGGAAGGTTACTTGGAGAATTACCTAACCTCTTTTTATACATGACAATTTCACCATATTTCTCAGTTTTGGTCAAACTGTCTCATTCCTCACTGTCAGAAATGGTACTTGAAACTGATATTCGGTAGCGTTCAGTGCTGCGGCAAGGGTTATATTCCAATTCGCAAACAGATTTGTGCGAACTCAGTTTTTTGTTTTTTCACTCTAGGTAGATGCCTAAAAATGATGACAGTTTATCCCCTACCTCTCCATTCAGACGGTGGCTTCCACATTGTTCGCCCGTCCATGGTCAGTCTTACCAGTAAATTGTAGTTTGATCTCGTCAAAATTACCACAGTAAACTTTTTATTTCAATGATAATTGAGGCTTCGTGCAAAAATTACTTGTCTCGGATGTTAGTCAAAAATTTAATTAGTAGAATGTCATTTTTAAATCAAATGAGATTAATGTTTACAGCCTGTTTGTGTCAAAAAGTGGCAAAAATTCAGTGAATTTATTTAGAAGTGACTGCGGAACACCAAGAGAGTGTTTTAAATAGTGATCAGAAGCCGCTGAACGTATGGAATGAAATGGATGCCGTCAGCGGGAGCAGCAGCACCGGCTCCATCAAAGATTCCATTGTTGGTGGCAAGTACCGCCTAATCCGTAAAATTGGGTGTGGGTCCTTTGGTGATATCCATCTCGGGATCAACGTCGCGAATGGCGAAGTAAGTAGCCACGTCAGTTATGACCTACTCTCATGAGTATTTTTACTAGTTAGTATAATTTGATTAAATTCTAACTACTATTTGTCTGATTAATTAGCATTTCTGTAATTCTGATTTCAAGGAAGTCGCTATTAAACTGGAACCGATAAAGTCTCGCCACCCGCAGCTCCAGTATGAGAGCAAAGTTTACAGGATTCTTCAAGGCGGTATCGGTATTCCTCATATAAAGTAAGAATGTATATTTTTCTTATGTGTTTGATGCTTGAATGATGTTTTATTTCGACTGTTTGTTGTTTGGCAACAATTTCTTTGATGATTTGTTATTACATTTTTTGTTTTTAATACGTGCTGTTATGTTTAGGTGGTTTGGAGTTGAACGCTATCACAATGTTCTTGTTATGGATTTGCTCGGTCCTAGCTTAGAGGACCTGTTCACGTTTTGTTCCAGACATTTTACCATGAAGACTGTTCTCATGCTAGCCGATCAAGTAAGAACTACTAGGTTTTGTCAGCCTTTTGTTTATATGACCGCCCAAAAATTCTGGCGAGAGCGAGTTGAATTTAACCTTCCGATACCATCTTTGCGTTGTTGTATCTGTGTTTAAAGGGAAGCGTGCACAGCCAATTGTAAAACTGTCATTTTCTTTAAGATCAGGAAATAAACACAAATGCGCTCCAAAATAATGCATTTAGTTAGCTGCAGAATTTCAGAACTCTTAAACTTTGTTTTCAATTGTATATTTATTTTTATTACTTCTTCACGGTGTGGTTTGGCTTCGGAATTTCTTTCTGTCATTCGCATTTTTAGCGTTTAACGCCTGAAGACGAGCGTCCAAGCGTTAAGGTAGCTACGAACGACAAAATAACTACCGAATTTAGTCAGTCAACCCCCTTATCTTGAAGAAGGCCTGGGAGACGCTTGCCCAAGAGTTGCCTCTGATAAGTCATTTAATTGACCAAATCGTTTGCGTTTTGTGCAAATGTAAGCCGTGTTTTATACTGCTTTCACTATAACGTACCAACGAAATACTCAAGTATTTCACCAGTACCAGCGTTTCCACCCCTGTTTCAGGGCATTCTTAAAGGTGGAGAGGTAGATTGGTTTAATAAGTTCTTTTCAGTATGACTATCAATACGCGGAACAAATGACCAGTTTGGTTTTACTTTTAAACTCTCCCCTCCTTTTTACTTTTCATATGGCGTTGAAATTTTGCTTACTGTACTCTCCATCTTTTGACACTTGTTGACATATCTGAAAAAGGACCACCATTCTGAAAGGTTGTGTTCATTAAGTAATTGATTTTTGGGCATACTGCCGTTACTTCTTATTCCAAAATCGTTTCGGCCTGATTATGAGTTTTAAGTCATCATAGTATTACGCTATGGTATGTTTCAAGGAATTCTTCATTATTAAAGCGGATACATCTTCTGACCCTACGGTTAATAGGACAAAAAGCTTTTTCTCATGCTGCTCACATTGAAACAGCTTCGATTATCTTTAGATACAGCACTGTATCTGTAAAAAATAATTAACACTTGATAAGTTATGCTAGAAAATTAATCAGGATCTCTCTTATTCTCACAATCTCTGCATCAGTCGCGTCAGCCGTTAAGTCAGTTTCTCAATCAGTCTGTCAATGTGAATCTCAAATGGTGAGTCTGTGCGTCAGTCTTCGTCGGTCATTCAGCCAGTTACTTAACCAATTAGTCCGCAGTTAAGCGCCTACTCATGAATCTCTCGGCTAGTTAGTTAATTCATATCTGAAACTCAGTCTATCCGTCTCATTATACTCCCGTAAGTCATTTCTTTAGTCAGCTAAACTATCTTCAAGCTATAGCGGTAGCAGGTTTACTGCTCTTGCAAGGTTAAGAAGCTGTTTACCACTTTCAAATATACTTCAAGACTTGTTTAATATTTGCAGTTAGTGCATTTTGTGTCGTTTTATGTATATGGGTGAAAAGTGGCTAAGTTTTTTGACGCTAGTTTGATAAAATTAACTTCTTTGAGTAAGAAGACACGAAAAATGTTGCTTATGCTTTTCTTCTGGTTTCCATATATTGGACTCTAAAGATTGTTCATAACCAGAACCTTCAGTTTACTCCAAAGAGTTAAAAACAAGATCTCGAAATTTCCGATCAATCTGGATCCACTTTCAGCAAACATTGCATAACATAAATTGTAAGAGGAATCTGATATTTCTCATAGTTTTTAAACTGTCTGTTGCATAATGTCCCTTGAAAATAAATCCAGTTAAACTTGAAACGTTTAGATTTCATTTAATAAATTTATATGCAGAGTAAACTGTCTGAAGATTTTGATGGTGAGGCAATTTATACTCGCATTAAGAATTCAACTAAATCTCTTTGAATCTAATACTCTAAAAATAGGATAAAACAGTTTTTAAGCATACAAAAACAGAACGTAGCGGATTCAGCAGAGCAGTAGATGCGTCTCATGTCTTTAGATAGTTAAACACCTAATACTGAACTCATCTTTTAATTTATAGATCTTTTGAAATTTTCTTTAAACGTTTTTTGGTACAAAATATGCGGTTAGACTCTTGCTTCTTATAATTTGTTCTTATTTTAGATGATAGGAAGAATTGAATACGTGCACGTCAAGAATTTTATTCACCGTGATATAAAACCTGACAATTTTCTTATAGGAATAGGTCGTCACGTGAATAAAGTAAGTCACGTTTGCGGTTTATTTTAAAGCGGAATAAGCTTTTACTGGAATATCGCTCTGTTTACTATATTGTTCATTATATCATTCTAATTTCTATCAAGCTAGTAGATTGATGGGAAGCTAAGCCGATGACTATGCTATATGAGAACTAAACTAGGATGACGAAAATAGAGCATAACACTAGTACAAACTGTCACCACGCCTGGTTCATGTGGACGGGCTAATATTCGGCGATGAATCGCGCCGACGACATTTTTTGTTGCTATTAGAAGGAAGTTTTTCTGCTCGCTGGAATGGCTGACGGTGGCCTGAGGATTTTCGCACAGATGGGCTCCCATTTCTGTCCAGGCTTCTATATTTTATACGTACTCTCTTCTATCCTTTTAGGAACCGACGTTTCACCTGAAGCCCTGACATTGGCGGTCTATTTTTTTTCAAAAGCACGGATCGCTTTCGCATTGACATGCAACTGCTGTTGGGCAGTAACTTTTTCTCTGAGTATGGAACTTGTCGACCTCGAACCTGGCCACGCTTTGGTGATGTCACCGCTACCTGTCCGCAACTGCTTATTTGTTGCTGCTATTCTCCATATCTGGAGGTCGTTCCCCTATCCATAGCCTAGGGATGCGCTAGATGACAAACAGGTAGGCCCAATTGGGGTCATTGATAGTGAACGAAAGAGTGCGATTCCGCAAAGCGGCAGAAATGAGGTTGATTTAAGAAGATTACCGATAAGGCGGAACGCGGTAAACATTGGAATATGACAGTTGAAGATATACTCACTTATTAGGCACTTATTCGCCAGATCATGACATCACAGCTGCATGGTTTGGGCAATGGTTAGAATACCAGATAAGTTGCTCATCGCGAAGCTAAATACTGTTTATCAAGTTGCATAGCAAGTGTTAGGTAGCTCAAGCGTATGGAATACCACCTGTTTGTGTAATATCTTAGGAGCCAGTCCGGGGACTTGCTCTCTTTGTTGAAGATCGTCGGAATCATTGACAAAACTTTATGAGGCTGCTGCTTCCATGAACCAAAAAATGGCTGGGGCTTCGAAGGTGGATGAAAAGACCCTGCAGCCGAAGGGGCTGAATTTCATGCATAGGGTAAAGGGACAGAACAGTTTGGACAGATAGAACATCGGGTTTGCCATCAGAGCATCGCATTCTCCCGTCCTAGTTTGTCCCTCACATCTCTTCCTTTCGTAGATGAATGCCCCTTTTTGGGAAAGTAGGCAGAAGACGCTATACTGGCCACATGGCTGCAGATATTTTATTTACGGGTGATGTTCCTTAGCTGATAGCGTCAAAAAGGGGATAATCAACTTACCACCAGTTCTGTTCGAAGCTACTAAAAGCAGAACCGTTTCTTGTAGTATATTTTACACAGACGTGGCTGCGTTACTAACTTTCCTTTCATCTGAAATTGACTAACTCTGTGATCATGACTTTGTTCAAGATTCTTGCAACAATAGATTTAGTACAAACATGCTTAGCTGACGGTGGGAGTTCAATATCTTCGGTGCTCTGAAACGATAGCCGTTAGTTTTTTCTTATTAAAATGTATGACGAAGATATTAGTATAGGTGGTCCATGAGCGGTGAAAAGTGGGAACTCGATGAAACTTAGTAAGCTAGCAAATTAGTCGATCTCTTCTTTTCTCATATGGTAGGTACATGCTTGATTTTCAGTTGGTCGATGCATGGCTCACGTATTATTGCAATCAGCGTTCGAACAAACATTTGTTTTATTGTCCCCAATCGCGTTTTGTCAATGAAATCTTTCGATTATATACATTTACCACTGTACATTTAATTTATGTATGAACCTTGAGCATGGCAGCGTCAGTGAAGACACGTGTTAGTGAACAGTAGAACATCGTTTCTCGTTTTTACTGCAGTTAAGTTTGAACCATCAGTCAGCTGACCGAAGATTCGTTCAGTTTTTTGTCCAGAATTGAGATTAGTTTTAAAATTTGTTTGATTTAATTTTGATTTAATTTGACTTTTATGTCATCGTTTGTAGTTGTTCTTGATCGATTTTGGACTTGCCAAAAAATACCGCGACGGTCGAACTCGCCAGCATATCGCCTACCGTGAGGACAAAAATTTAACGGGCACAGCTCGCTACGCATCTGTTAACGCCCATCTGGGAATTGAACAAAGCCGGCGCGACGATATGGAGTCGATGGGCTACGTGCTAATGTACTTCAACCGCGGATCGTTGCCGTGGCAGGGGCTTAAGGTGAGTGACAGGTGGCAAGATCGCCTGATCGGCATTTGACTGCTGTTCTGTGAAGGCGGCTACGAAGAAGCAGAAGTACGAAAAGATCAGCGAAAAGAAAATGTCCTGCTCTGTTGAAGCACTTTGTAAAGTACGTTCGTTGTTGCTTCAGTCTTTCGCTTGCTCACAGAACTAATCATTTCCGGTAGAAGCATGTTATTGTGCTTCACTTTGTATGAACATAGCTAAAAAGGTTTCGCATAGTGGCATACAGCGACCTGGGACTCGAGAAAAGAATGGGTTCCTTTGCCCGTTTTTGCCTACAATGTTCCGTAAATAGGGTGTTGTCAGCCATTTTGAGGTTTTCGAAAAATTTCCTGTTTAGCAATGGCTCATGCCGTACGGTGCTGTTATTGACGATTCGTAATGATGTCGACCGAGTACCTGAGTCGGCAGTCTTTGTTTAGTTTGCTATATCTTATGCGCCTAAAAGAATAGTGGATAGTGGAAAGATCTTGCTCCGTTCAGTTTTATTATAATTTTCTCCTATGATGATTATAAGGGCAGATTCGACGATGATAATAACAATGATAATTTCGATCATAAGTGTTTTCTCCTTTCTATGACAGGGAAACAAGAATGACCGGCCGTGAGGCTCTCTTAAGAGACAACCGTGTGCGTCCAGAATTTGTTTCCTTTTGACCGCCAACAACGCGATGGAACAAACCATTGGTCAAATTAGTTGACCAGCGGTGCAGGTAAAAGCGGATGACAGACAATTTTTGGAGGAGCGTCGACTTGCGCTCATGGCACATCCATAACGAAAACAAGTTAGGTAGCGGATGGTTTCGATGATGAAGTGGATAGTCACCAATACTGTCAAGATGATGACGGTGACTATAACATGTAGCATAAAAATGATTTGTGCGGAGCAGTTGCAGTGGCAGCGAATGGAAGCGTGCTTTTTTGAAATGTTTGAAAGCCAAAGCTGTAAGTAAATATGCAGTTTTTATCAGCATACGGAAGTATTTGGATGTCGAATCTGGAAGTTTTTAGGAGTCAGGTAGAGAATAATGGCGATTCTATACCGTTTTACCTGATTCTACGTTTGTTCACAAAAGAAGCGTTTAACTTATGCTTGTTTCCCTTTCTTACCGCTCTATTTCGGATTAAATGTCGTAAAGTTCCTTTTTATTAATCCCACGTTTATGCGCAGTCCATTGTATATTTGTTGTTCATATATAAAAAGATTTACTCTGTGTAATCTTCACGTTCCTGTACTAGGGTTATCCGGCTGAGTTTGCTATGTACCTGCGCTATTGTCGTAGTCTTCGCTTCGACGAGGCTCCGGACTACATGTACTTGCGGCAGCTTTTTCGCATTCTTTTCCGTACGCTGAATCACCAGTATGATTATACCTTCGACTGGACGATCATGAAAAGTAAGGCAGCGCAGAATGCTCTTCCGGAACTCGCCTCACCACAGGCTGCAGCTCAGAATTCTCATGGTAATTATTTTCTTAAGATTTAGTGGCACTGTGTAATTTCTGTTTTTAAAAAGTTATTCAAGTGGAGATTTTTCGAATTTATTTTTTCATCTTTTACATACATAGAAAACAATGCTATTCATCAGCAAAATATTCAGTTAAATTATTTGCCAAAATTCGAAAGGTCCTTTAATCAATGTCAAATTCATATTTTTACCTTTATTTACATCCTCTGTTTCAGATGTTGCTGAAGGTCGTGTTAAATAGCACCCGCGTTTCGTTCCCGCATTGAAATTGGCAGCAGATATACGCGGAGTTGTTACACGTCGTCAGTAGTGAATATTAATAATAAGGTTGCATCCAGAAATTATCTGAACTGGCTGAAGATCACTTTTATCGTTTATTTTTTAACAGTAAGCAATTATTGTATTTTCTTTCGTTCTGCAGTTATTGCATAAATAAAGTTTTTATTGTTTCATTGTATTCTGTATGGACGTTGTTTATTTATTTGCGAAACCCCTACAGTGTGTTTTAATTTGATTTTGCGTTGGCTCTTTTCAACTGACAGAAACGTCTTTTTGCGTTTCGCCGTGTGTAAGTTTATATTCGCTGGATCTATCTCTGGTTCAACTGATTTTTAGGTGATTTTAGTGTTGTATGCCTTATATGTTAAATGTATTAAGTAAAAGGTGCTAACGCTTCACAGTAATTGCTGGTTACGGTGAGGGGCAGCTTCCTGCAAAAGTCGCTTAGTTTTTTGCTGTTTTGAAAGACGTAATGAATGGATGTATTAATTTAATGTGCGCGTTTCGATCATGAATTTTTATTGTTATTTAATTATGACTATTTTTTGTTGTTATGAAATAATAGGCTGCTTAAAATTACTGTCAGAGTTGTCTGATTTTAGGATTTCGTTTTTATGAGTCTTTTATCGGTGAAACCAAAGTTGTTTAATCGATGGCAACATTGTATTTACTGGATTTTATTTTTGTTCACACTCTTTTTTCCCAGAGACAGAACACGGGAAGTCCAGGAAGAAATAGTTCGAATTGAAGCAGAAACGGGTATGTGTGTGGTAGTTTATCCTTTAACTGCTCATGCTACTACAACGTACTTTACACTGGTGCTGCGTTAGTGTAAGATATGGTAGACATGCTGAGTTATACAGCTCCATTCTAGTCGCCTATAAAGGATCGTTTAAGCACGCAGCATTCTTTTGACCGCGAATCCAAGTCTATGTGCCTTATATCGATAGAATCGTAATTAGCCTTTGTCGATCCACTGTAGGATGAAGGCCTCTCCAGGACTCTTATCAGCCATTTTCTTCCGTCTTGATCCAGCTGATTTCTTCGATTCATTTTGCCATCGATTGGGGGTGTTTCTGCGGGTCGTTAAATCTCGTAACCCACTAACGGCTCTTGTCCAGTTAGGGTCGGTTCTTGCAATTCTTGAGCCCATTCCCACTTTTTCGAGCCCATTGCAACTTTTCACTGGACAAGGCTTGTTTGTTCTCTTACTGAGTCATTTAATTTCTTTACTTTCTTGTCATTCCCAGCAGACGTCCTTCTATGCTGTGTTTCGTATTTTGCAATTTATGACAGCTTTCACGCTTGAGATCTGCGTGTTCCATCTACAGGTTAGCACTGGAGATACACACAGATCGAATACTTTCCGTTTCAAGCACAACGACTGTTTCCCTGATTTTCAATCTTTCAAAGGTACTTCATGCCATCCATTCTTCTGTTTATTTCGCACAGTCAATTTTTCGTTGTAGAGGTGAACTGTCCCATATAGATGAAATTTTGAGTCTTTCAATGCATACGGCTGTTGGCTTGAACAGGCTACGTGGTCACGTGTTTGTTGAACGTAGCCTCAGTCTTTTTTAGTCTATGATAATGATTGTGCCATGTGTTGCGAATGCGTCCAGAAATTAGGGCTAAGCAGCTGTTTCTTGCAAATCCGACCGGCACAAGGTCCACGGGACAGCGAAGATTAACCTCGTGCAAATATATGGAAGATGTCTGTTCCAGAATCCAGTTGTCTTCTGCCGAAGCTCAGACTCTGGTACAGGTTCAGGAACGTTGGAAGCTCTGTCTGACGCGTCTGCCTCTGTAACCCGAAAGGAGAAGCGGCGATTGAAGAAGAAGAGAAAAATAATGATTGTTCAGCTTTTTCAAAGAGAAAAATTCACTCGAGCAATGTACTAATATCTCAGCTAATAATGTCATAAACGTGATAATTTCTTGTTTGGTA